ATTATATGTCACGATTTTTCTATTGGTCACAGATTAAAAATTTTATAGGTCACATATTATTTCAAGGTCACAAATCAGGTTACATATTATTTTATTGGATACGTATCAAAAAATTACAGGTCACAGTTATCTATTAGTCACATATTTTCAAATTTATTGGTCACAAATTAATTTTTAGTCAAAATTTTAAGGTCACAGTTAAATTTTTTTTTTAAACCACCACCAATTTCCGTGACCACCACTGTCACTAATTAATTTTTAGTCACAATTTTAAGGTGACCACCACCAACTTTTGTGACCACTCCCGTGACTGCCACCAACTTCTGTGACCACCCCATTACTGACTTCTGTGACTACCCCCGTGACCACCACCAACTTTCGTGACCATCACCTCATCACTGCTACGTCGCCATCACACCACCAACACCCAAATCACTATTGTAGGTGTTAGCTCAAATCGCAGCTTCATGGCACCATAAATCGCCACCGCCACCGCCCAAATCAAACCACAAACCGCCACCACCACGCAAACACCACAACATAAACACCACCAAAAAATTGAATCGAAAAATACCATAGCCATCGGTGGAGAGGAAGAGGGAGATAGCGGAGGCGATGGTTGCACGGTGCGACCACCGCGAAACACCACAACGCAAACACTACCAAAAAATTGAATCGATGGCTATGGATTTGTTGACGTAAAGTTTAACGATCAATCCTCTGGATGTGGAAATGTAGGAGGTTCGACTGGAGGAACCATCTGACAAATCAAACTCAGAAAAAAAACAAAAATCTGATCTGCATTGACCTCTTCTCTACACAGTATCGCGTAGCCTGTAATTAACAGTAGCTACGGCTACGGTCGAATCGACCTCTTCTCTGCACAGTGGCTACGGCTGTGGTCTGAATCGACCTCTTCTCTGCACAGTCAAACATAGCCTGTGATTAACAATGGCTACGACTACGGTTGAGACGAAGTACAGATTGGAGAGAAGCAATAGCAACCGTAGCTCCAACGTAACTGAGTAGTCATGGCCGCTGCAACTCTGATTGGTGGATGAAGATAAGCTCCGGTGGTGAAGCTCCCAATGAGGCGGAGACGAGAGGGGGGGAGAGAGAATTAGGGTTTGAGGTTTTTAAATTGTGTGGTAGATGAATTAGTTTTTTAATTGTTATATTTAGTAATAAGTTTAATTATAAT